TTTGAATTACTCTATTTGAACAGGAACAATGTACAATGGTTTAAGCAAATTGCTATTTACTGTCACTGTCACCTGATGCTTTCCTGTAGACACAGACACCATTACTCAGCCATGTTTTGACTGAGTAGAACAGTTTGGAGATTTGTGGATCTAGGTGATAGATTAATTAAACCATTGCATAATGTGACCTGTTTGTGCACAACAGCCCTGCATTGTAGCTTAATATGCCATGATTTTCTGTCCCTTACATGGAAAAGAATTTGTTATGCAGTTCTGGGATTCAGAAGCCTGTCCCACAAGCAAAGGGAGGAGCAACAGTGTTTATCAAGCAGCATGTGGACCTTAGTTCCAAATAGCTGTCTGGCTTTCAGAGGAAACAGTCATGGGACTGCTGTTGCCGATTATTCTTGGCTGTCTTGCCGCTCTGATTGGAGGGCTGTACCTACTCGGGGTGTTTCGACAGCGGAGACCAGGAGAACCACCTTTGGATAGGGGGCTCATTCCTTGGCTTGGTCATGTCTTAGAGTTTCGCAGGAACACATTGAAGTTCATAGAGAGGATGAAGCAAAAGCATGGAGATGTGTTCACAATTCAGCTGGCAGGATTTTACGTTACATTCCTTCAGGACCCTCTATCGTTTGGGGCACTTGTAAAGGAGAGTCGAGAAAAACTGGACTTTAACAAGTTTGCCATGGAGCTGGTGCGCAGAGTGTTTGGTTACGTAGCTGAGGTGGGGGACCATCACATTCTCCAGCTATCCAGCAACAAGCACTTGAAAGGGGATGGCCTGGAGGTAATGACACAAGCTATGATGAGTAATTTGCAGAACCTAATGTTGCACAACATCGGATCAGCTGCAGACCAAGAGACCTGGATGGAAGATGGACTTTTTATTTACAGCTACAATATTGTTTTTCGGGCTGGCTACTTATCCCTGTATGGCAATGAGCCACACAAGTCAGAAGGAAGTGAGGAGAAAGCAAAAGAGAAAGACAGAGCTGAATCTGAAGCCTTATTTTACGAGTTTCGTAAATATGACCAACTCTTTCCAAACTTGGCTTACGGGGTCCTGCCACCAAGGCAAAGGATGGAAGCAGACAGACTCATGGAATTCTTTTGGAAAGCTCTGTCAGTGCAAAAGATGAAGACCAAGGACAACATCAGTCGCTGGGTGTGGGACATGCAGCAGGCCAAAGATGAGATGGGTATGAAAGAGTCAATGATAAACAGGTACATGTTTGTGCTTCTTTGGGCCTCTCAGGGCAACACAGGGCCTTCTGCATTCTGGCTGCTCCTCTTCCTCATGAAACACCCTGAAGCCATGGCAGCAGTGAAGGAAGAGGTAGATAAGGTTGTGAAGGAATCCGGGCAGGAAGTCAAACGTGATGGCCCTTTACTTAACCTGACCCGTGAAATGCTGATGAACACGCCAGTCCTGGACAGTGCTGTAGAAGAGACCCTCCGACTCACTGCTGCACCCCTCCTCACCAGAGCAGTGCTCCAGGACATGACCCTCAAGATGGCTGACGGGCGTGAATACTTCATTCGCCAAGGCGACAGAATGGCAGTCTTTCCATACAATGCCGTTCAGCTTGACCCAGAGATCCACCCTGACCCACATTCATTTCAATATGACCGGTTTCTGAATCCAGACGGGAGCAAGAAAACAGATTTTTACAAAGCAGGGAAGAAGGTGAAGTATTACAACATGCCCTGGGGTGCTGGGGTCTCCATGTGCCCTGGGCGTTTCTTTGCCACCAATGAGCTGAAACAGTTTGCTTTCCTCATGTTGGTCTATTTTGAGTTTGAGCTGAAGAATCCCAATGAGAAGATACCTGAAATTGACTTCAGGCGATGGGGCTTTGGTTCGATGCAACCTGACAGAGATGTCCCGTTTCGATACAGACTCAGATATTAAACCATATCAATAATTTTTGTCATTTGGTCTGATAAAATATTTGATTTTCCTTTTGATCATCTCTGCAAGGTTTCTTTCCAAATGAAGCATGATTTTACACTTGGAGAGTAGTTAACATAACATTACATTACTTGTTACATCTCATTAGTCATACTACTCATTACAGTGATGTGAAAGAAAGCTGCAAAAATGTTGCACTATTATTATTACTATTACTACATTTCCAAGTCCAACATAATTATTTTTGATTCAAACACTGTGTGCAAAATTTTGTGTTAACTGAATTTTATTTCACTAATATAAACATTTTTATTTTTTAATTCTTGACATGCTTTTTGGAAGACAGTCACCATGATGATACTAAGATATCCTTATTTAACAGTTAGGTGTATGTATGTATGTATATGTAACTGTTATTTATCAGTTAACAGTTAAATAAAAATACATCTTTGTAGTGTAACCATCAGAGAAGGCATGGGATATCTTTAATAGCTTCTGTCTTACACATGTGTGATACATACTAGTATATAATAGTCAAGCAGCAATCTCTGTTTTTAGGGTGTGTGCATAAATGGAATGTCACTAAACTGGTTTCTGGGTCAAGGTTAGGTTTTATCGGGGGAATTTCTACCAGACACTGCTTCCTAACTGTAACTCTATTAACCTATAATTATAACTTATTCATTATGGAATAATGCATGTCTGTTTTTCAATTGTAACCTGTAACCTGTAATAAAGATTTATTTGATTATTTGATTGAAATAATAAAAGATTAAATTTGATGATACAGGACTCATTGGTTTAATGAGACTGGAGTAGAAACAAAGTTCATTTTCTTTGACCAAAGGATGACACACAATTGTCTCTGAACTTTATTGTTTTACAGTGTAACTGCTCAATAATACATGACTGTTTTAGCAACTTAAAGTTTACTCAGCAATAAATAATATATTGCTACATTTAAACATCCTAATCAGTTGTTGCTTGTACTCACAATCATTCCACTGACTATACTGCAGTTTTACACAGCAGTTTGTTACCTGTAAATGTAGTTATATGCTTTGCAAAGTGTTAATTTGTAACATTATATATGACAAATTATCTGTGGTTATCATCCAAGAAATACTGTATTGTGGGTGTATCCCAATATTCTTAAATCATTACACTATTTCTACACGTTGGTGGAGGAAGTGGGTTATTTGGAGATTGCTACATCACACATATGGTAGATAAAAAATAAAAAACATAATGTTGCAGTTATGCTACTGAGTAACGAATAAGTCTGAGAATATGTATTTTTCTCTTAAAAGAGTGTTATGTTATGTCCTTTTTAAGGAGAAATGTTGTTTTGTAATACACAATATGATTCAGACTGGCACTTATGATACCATGTGACATTGTTTAAACAGATTTAGAGGAACCACACTTAGGAGACCAATCAAATGGATTGTTTTATCTTGCTCTACACTACAATATTCCTGTAATAAAGCATTGCCTTTGTCAAAGTTATTTTTTTGTGTATCAGAGGTGATTTGTTTCAACTCTGTTATTTTTTTGAAGGCTGTGGTGTTTCTAATATATTTTCACCTCCATTTATAAAAAGTGGTCAGTGTGGACTTAACTGAGCTTTACTTTTATTAGATTAATTTGTATTAAATAATTTAATTACTGTAAATTTTGTTGTATTTTGACACATCCACTATACATCTAAAAATAAATAATTAAAACTGCATGAACTCCTAATTAACACTTTTTCATTCCTCAATGGGTGGAATGTTTATGAACACCAGACATGATCAGATGTCCCTCTTGGATGCAATACACAGTGGATTTCTGGACATATGTGCAGTACATTTACCGGGATGGATCAGGCATTCAAAAGTATTCTTTCTCAGGGGTATTACAAGAGAAGGACATAAGTTGTGATGTCAAATTATGTCAAACCAAGGAAGCGCCAACCAATAGTTAAATTCTGCTCTGTCTCAAGGAGTGAGAAGATCGTGTGTTACTGGATAATGAATGTAAATCTCAGCAGAAGGTTAAATCTGGACGATTAAAGCCAGTTGTAATGTTATCAACATGTTAGATGTCTCCATGTGTCCCAGGGCAGGTCTGTGCACCAGTGAGCTGAAACTGTTCCCTCCTTAACACACCTCAAAGCAATGGGGCTCCAGATCACTGCTTCCCAAAAACGACATCCAGATGTTGAAACCACAACCACACATTGTTTCATTTTTCTGATTGTCTGATTTTGACTGTCTCAGTACTACACAGTAACTTTTATTTGACTGACAACAATAATTCCAATTGAATTTTAAAAAGAAAATGAACTCAATAAATACAATACTTTTTTTTCAATACTGTGATATGTTTCATGGTTTACGCCTGTACATGCAAGTCTGTAAAATTCTGACATTCCAACAATTATAAATAATAAGTACAATATTGGATTACCTCCTGTACCCTCTTTACCTTTCTGTGCAGATATTACAGGTAAAGATGCACGTGCTGAGGTCAAACTCTCATTTTCACATTCACAACCCACTAAAACTCCATCCTACAAAGCTGACACTTTGGATAAAGAAGATTGTCACTCCACATTTGCACTATGTTTACTAAAATAGCTACTATGATGTGGGTTACAACACCATTTATTGCTGTAGTTGCGAAACACAGAAACGAAACCAGACACACTTTAGTCACTAACGGATATCACATTCTGTACTTCTTTGTCATTTCCAGAATCTGAACAAAAACATGGGGCAGAAACAACAAGTAGAAAGAAAATGTGGGTTGTTTTCTTCACTCACGAAAGAGTTGTGACACACTTTGTTGGGAAGGAGAGACAGCATTCATCTGTTTTTCTGTGTTTAATTTTGGACTATTGCCATAACATAGAATATAGTACAGTACAGTACAGTTAGATTATTAAATATTCATATTTTACCATGCTTCATAGTAACTCACATCCTAATGTTATCTTATGTTACGACATTCACATAAAAATACAACTCATTCAGACATTCACAACAAGTGAGTATAAATGAATGCCAGTGCCGAATTTAGTGACATTTAGTGGTAAAGCTGCGGATTGCAACTAGCTGAATACCGCTGGCATCTGTATTTGACAGCCTGTGAATGAGAACAGGCTGTGAATTGTGTAGGAGAAACTAAGGTGGCTGTAAAACCTACATAAAATGTGAAAGGCCCTATCTACAGCCCCCATTTGGTTTGTCAGTTCTGGGCTGCTGTATAAACATGGCAGTTCTGCATTAAAGGCAACCCGCGGCTTCTGTAGATAAAAACAGCTCATTCCAAGGACGAAATTTTATATATTTTTTTTGGCCTTTTATTGCCTTTATTGATAGTAACAGGTTTAGATAGACAGGAAAGGGGGGTTATAGTTTTCTATTGCTACTTTTAAGTTCACTGTTCCTTCTTTGGTTTGACTGGTTGCTAAGAATGTAGCTAAACATTAATCCACCAACCCTCTGTGTTGTCCCTTGTTAGTTCAAATTCACTCCAACTCACTACACCAATTTTACACTTATTTTTGGATATAATGTTTTTTTTTAAACGTTGTGCCTGTTCAACATAAAATAATACATGAAATCAAGTGTAATCTCTTTTGCATTAAATATAAGCTTTTTAAAATTCTTTGCATTGTTGAGGCTTTACGTTCACCTAAAGCTAACCTATGAGTAAAATCATGAAATAATAATACATTTTATTTATCAGACTTTCAATAAAACTAAAGACACTTTAAAGATTATTGAGAGCTTGCATTGATGAGGAGGATCTTGAAGTGGGATATGCCTGCTTATTGGGAGTAGTGAAGGTGTGCAGGATGGTGTGTAAGCACATTCTTTGATGGTAACTTACCTTTGACTTCTAAAGAGGTCTCTTATGTCCACTTTTTTTTTTAGACATCTGACCTGGCTGCGCCTAATTACCAAACACAATACAAACACAGCCATACGCACTGGACACCAATTAAAGTTAATGATAAATGAACCCCCCAGATTATACGTCCGTGGCCATTCTAAAAGAATAAAATATTCTATATCAGGTGATTATACCTAATGAAAATATATCTATGTATTATCATATTCCATTTTGTACCCAGTAGAGCTCCTAAATGTGAACACTTGGATTTTACAAGCCAATAAAGAAGTTATAACATGTAACATGTAGAAGAATAACATGTTCAGGGGAGGGTATGTTTTTCCTTGAATTTACAGTCTTCAGAGTAACTTATTCAGCCTCCTACAAGGATTTAATTTCTACTGCATGCTATGACTTGAATCACCTTGACTCACTCGGAACCATTTTTTCTTCCGTTTTCCGTTGGCAAAAGTTGTAGCTTAGCTTTAGCTTTCAGGCTAATGGAGCGAAGCCTGCGAGCTAGTTCAGGCAGTCAACCTCCAGCTCGCTGATATACACACATGACATGCCTCACTCCATAATCAACCAAGCGGCACCCTTCAATCATGGCAGCCTATATAAAACTGCACAATTTCCCAGCTCTCCCTCTGCTCTGTCAATGCCGCTGTTGTCCTGCATCCGTATTGCTGCCTGCTGAGCTGTAAGCCCCACTACCACCCCAGCATCCACCTGTCATCACTCCCCAATATCTCTATGTAAACATATCTGCGGGGAATGATGAGATCGGAGCCTATGCCAAAATCTAAATACGCTACTGCTGTAATAAACATTTCAAACGTGAGTTGTCTGATTGAAATGTTATGTTATGTTAACAATAGTCAATATCCCAAGTTATAGCCTTCCTGGCCTATGGTCTTATTCCTCTATTTTCCCTAGAGTTAAGGGATTCTGCAGTACTTCTTTAAACTCTATTTAGGCCTTTACTCTTTAACTCTTTTGGTCTCTAAATCTTTAGACCATTACTCTTTAACTCTTTTGGTCTCTAAATCTTTAGACAATTACTGTTCAACTCTTTTGGTTTCTAACTCTTTTGACCATTCCACTTTAACTTTTTCGACCATTTTGGTTTCTAACTCTTTAGACTATTACTCTTTAACTCTTTAAACTCTAACTCTTTTCACATTTAATTGTATTAGCTTTATTCCAAATCCAATCTGCAATTTTGGTGTGATCAGTGCATGCATGCATTAAATTCAAATCCACAAGTCTTCCTATATTTATATCCTACGACGGAGTATTAAGGCCAGACTAAGAGAAAAAGAATATTATTTTTTTGGAAATTACGAGAATAAAGTAATAATGTTACAAGAAAAAAGTTGAAATGTTACGAGAATAAAGTCGTAATAATACAAGAATAATGTAATATTAATACAAGAAAAAAAATCGTTTAATGACAAAAAAGCTCCCGATAGAGTTATCAAGATCTGACGTGACCAGCTCAAACCAAACAGCAGCCTCAGTCTGAGCCTAGCAGCCGCTGTTTGTCTCAGTCCTACCGTACAGGCAACAGGTAAGCTAATGTATTGATAATTTCGTCGTTACTTTACTACTTTATTCTCGTAATGTTACGACTTTATTCTCTTAATATTACGACTTTATACGACTTAATAAAAAAAAAAATTCTCTTAGTATGGCCCTAATACTCCGTCCTACTATCCAACTTAGATTTTAGCACCAAAATTATTTTTGGGAGAATATTGGACGTTACTCACTGCACTTAGGCCTAGGCGAGGCTGCACATGAATTGTGGCAAAAAGCCTCCTACCTTTGTTTGTGCAGTGTCAGTTCACCAAGAGCCCAAGTCAAAGTCTCTTTTCTTCCAACCCTGCTCACAGCCGATCATGTTGTGTCTTTTAATGATGCCTCAATAATGAGTTGAAGACCAGGACTTGTGGATTTGAATGAGTTTCTTTGCAAATAAGCTGAAGAGCACAACAGAACAACCCTGTCCCCGCATAACATTTCTCAGAGTTAGTTATGTTAGGACATGTACCATACTATAGTAGTACCTGGTACAATGTACGCTTTTTGGTATCACCTCAGTCAAGTTTACGAGCGTGTTGAGCCGGTACTAAAAAGTGAAGTTAAAACACTGCCGACCACTAATTGGTCACGTGGCGTAACTATGACAACCAACTAAGAATCCCGCCTACACTGATGGGGAACTGTTTTTAGTTGAAAACTAAATCGAAAAAAGTATTACCAAAAGCGAATCGAGTTGAGCCAAGCTCTCCAATGCAATGGAAATTTGACTAAAAATAGCAGAAAGCAGGTCAGGAAAGGCATACAAGTGTTAAAAAATAGCCAGTGCTCTCTTCCATTTGCTGTTTTTACAGCAAGTCCCTTGTCATAGGCATATGTAGATAATGGTAAAGACCAGGGCTTAATCTGGTCGTGGATGAGGTATTTACCCAATACCCCTGCAGCCGAGCATTGTAGTCTATTGCCCACGTGTGTATATATGTGTGTGACAACAGCTAGCAATGTGAGGGTTGGCTGCTAGCCAGTAGTGTTGTAATATAATGTTTTGGTGCTCACCTCAAATGAACCCACATTTTATTAGTCTGTTTTCTTGCCGTGCCAGAGCGGTGTTTTTTTCAAACCTACTGTCAATTTTTATTTTTTATTTTTGGACTATGTTTGTGGAGCTGTATTGGATTTTGTTATTAAAGATGTATTTCTTACATTTTTTACACCTCCATTCGCAATAATGGTGCGACAAAACATACACATGTGTCTTTTGTCTTTTTTTGTACTTTACACTTGTTTATGTGTGATTCAGCAGATGTTCAATAAAAACATGAATTGATTGTTGCTCGGAGATAACTCATTGGTGTGCCCTTTCAGTTTGGACTATATGATTCATTTACCCATAATAAATTAAAGTGATATCATCTGAAATAGAAAATTACATTTGGAATATAAATCAAACCTAATAAGTCCAAATAATGATAGAACAGTTCTGGCTAAATTGATTTTTAACCCTTAATTTATTTTTTTGCCTGGAACTGACATGAAAAGAAAAAACTGTTGAGCAACAGTTTGTTTACTTGCTTAGTTGATTTTCAATAGACTTTGTACAGACCACCTACATTGGTGTTTTATGGATAACTCATTATTTTCCTAAACTGGTAACCATTTGTTCAGGCAGGTGCTCCTTAAACTTTGAAACATATTTACTTCATAGTTACCTAAATATTGCTAGATTGCTATTTCACATCACTGTCCATCTCTTGTTTCACTCCCACCTCAGGTAGGAAAAAAAAGACTAATCTAATTAAGACTTTGTAGGACAGAAGGTTTTAATATCCAGATTTAATATCCAATTTCAGGGACTTGAATTTGTTGGTAATAACGTCACTGTTTATCACATCAGTTTTGTGTACCAACAGATTAGTAAAGGTTTTTTGGTAAAGCAGGAAGAATCAAGCACTGGAACTACTTCCCCTCTGTCAGGCAAACTAATAATACATTTTTGGAAAAATTACTTTCTGAAAGGAAAGTGTGCAAACCTTTTACGTGAAATATCACTTTAATTTCAGTTAATTATTATCTAAACACAGAAAAGCCATTACATCTAACTTGTCTAATACCTTCCTCATGGGGGTTCACTGATAAGCTATGTACAGCCATATGTGTGTTGTTTTTTTTACTTCAGTAACCAAATTATTATTCTCATTCATAAAACGTAACATCAGTCAGCTGTTTTCTGATTCACTCTGCATATTGTGCTTTGTCAGACATTGCTTACTGTAAAGCCTTATCCTTTTCTTTTAGATAAAGCTTGATAAACCAAATAATAACAAGAAAACAATTAGGGGTCATACAAAGTTCATGGATAAATCCACCAAAATTTGTTTAGCAGAAACTAAGTAGGGGTTACAGTTTATACTTATTATACTTACACTCTAGTGCCAGAAAGCTATGTTATGTCATTGTTATACATTGTCATGTATTCATACATAAGCAGAATGTTACTGTTGTAGTTGCTGGTTCGTATAGGACGGCAACTAATCATTAAGGACTGTGGTTTGATCTGATTATTTTCTCCATCAATCGACTGATTGTTGGGTTTGTAAAAATTCTGAAAATATAGTGAGATGCCATCACAATTACCCAGAGCCCAAAGTGACACTTTCACAATGTTTGATTTGTCCAACTGTTACATCCCAGCTAAAACCTGGATGACTTCCAATTGTCTTTAAACTCTTCTTGTACTTGGCCCCAAACACCCGGGAAACTCATTATCTAGTGATAGTGTTACTCTAGATGTCATTACGCTGGCCTTGGAGTTATCTTTGATCAGGATATGTCCTTCAGCGCCCACATAAAGCAAACTTCTAGGACTGCCTTTTTAAATTACGTAACACTGCAAAAATGTGGCACATCCTGTCACCGAAAGATGCAGAAAAACTGGTCCATGTATTTGTTACTTTTAGGCTGGATTACTGCACTTTCTAGTTATCAGGCTGGCCCAATAAGACCATTACGCTACAAACGATTCAGAATGTGTGACAGGAACTAAGAAACAAGATCATATTTCTCTTGTATTAGCTTCTCTGCACTGGCTCCTTGTAAAATTCAGTATATAATTTCAAAATCCTCCTCCTCACCTACAAA